ACACACACACACACACACACACACACCCATTTGTGAAATCGCCTTCCACAACACTCCATGACATGGTAGAATACTCAACAAAACTCGCTTTTTAATGATGGTGTTGACCTGAGGAATCTTCGGACTGAGGCTTGTGGCCTGAGTGGCCACCAGCAGAGCTGGCCCAGGTCTTGGACCAAGAGTCACCCCAGAGAGCGCTGATCTCTAAGTGGGAGGGGAGGCCACGCCCTCGACTGCTTCTCAAAAGACTAGAAATTAGCCTGGGTGGGGGGTGGGGGAAGAAACATGGTATAAAATACATTCAGGGCCCCCTGGCTGGGCCCTGCGGTGGCCCGAATCCCACAGCTGAGGGAATCAGGGAAGAGAAACACAGGCTCAATCCCTAAGCCCTTCTCTTCGAGTGGCCAAGTGCCAAGGGGCAGAACGTATTAGTTCTATTCCTCTTAAAAAAATATATCTCTTTACACGCTCCTTCTCCCTAGTCTCTTGGGTATTTGGGAACGAGCATTTTTACCTGCCCCCCGAGCCTTCGAAGGGGCCGAGTGGGGGGCTGCTCCAGACAGAATAGCAAAGATCTGTGACCTATGGCTTTTGCATCTACGTGGTAGGGAATGAGACAGGTGCACGGATATGGGCTGGATGTGAAGCCACTGGTATCCGAGGCGGGGGAAAGATGGGTGCTGAATTGATGCTTTCAAAGACAGATAATTAGCAACCCAGGTCCTTGAGAATCCTTTGGTTTGAGGTCTTAACCACCAAGGGGGCAGTGCTTGTATGGAAATGAAGAACCATTCCCATTCTGAGGGAGGCCAGCCCCACTGGACTATGACCAAGGGGAGGTCAATGGTCTGAGAAGGTAGTAGGGTCATGGTCCCACCTGATTTGGAGCACTTTGCTCTCTCATCTGGATAGCAAAGGACCCACTGGTAGGGGTCAGAGGGCAGTGTAGGATCAATGTGTTGGGCGCCACAACAGAGAGCTGTGTTACTCAAGATTCTGCACGTGGCCATCCTGGTGGGGTGACTATTGGTGCCTGAGAACCCCTAGAAGGGAGATCAAAGATCCCAAGGTCACCTTCTGGCTACAGCAGGGGAAGAAAAGGGCAGAATTCCGGCCCTAGAGGTGGCCAACCAACCCGATGGCTTCTCAGGAGCACTGTGGCGAGGTGGGCTCATGACAACAGCGGCCCCACGCGGTGGTGCCCGTTAACGTCCTGTGAGCATCATGGCCTCCGCACCCCACCCGGGCTGTCTGAGACCCTTCTTCAAACAGAAGTGGCCCGGATAAGTGTTGGTGCCTGTGATTCCGGGGGTGGAGGGGAGGAGGTGGGGGGAGGCCGTGAATGTTCAGCCCAGAAGGGAAGAGAGTCTGGGGCCACTTTCTCCTGCTACAGTCCCTTCCACCCTGGCATCGAGGTCCTTGACATCTGCAGTGGGACACCCATGTCCTGGGGCCACCGTGAGCCCTCCCTCCCACAGGTGGGGCCCAGAGTGGCGGGGGGGGGGGCAGGGGCAGAGGAGACAGAAAAGGGTCCACGTGGCTAGAACGTCTCCAAACCAGGGGCCCCCTGCGCCTCCAAGGGTGGGGAGCGCCCAGTCTCTTCCCTCGAGCCTCCTTGGTCATGCAGCAAAGTCACTGAAGGCCGACAGCGGCCAAGGGGATTGTCCCCAAGCCAGAGAGAGAGGACAGATGGGTTGGGGTGGGGGTGGGGGGCGTCCCCAGGAGTCTCGAGACCCCTGCTCGGGCGGGACTCCCGGCCCCTTCCCCGCCTGATGAATCATCTGGGGTAGTAGTCGTCAGGAACGCCGGTGAGGTTCCTCCCCTTCAGGGCCGCGTCCACCATCTTGATGTAGGCAGAGATGACCTTCTGCATGTCGGCCGTGTAGGGGTCGTACTCGAGCTTCCGGAGCCCCGAGCGCTTGAAGTTGCCGTCCTTCTGGCTCTCCACGCACAGCAGCCGGTCCTCCCTGACGGCCACGCCCAGCAGGCTGACCATGCGGCCCAGCTGGACGAACAGGTCCCGCTTCAGGTCCTCGAAGTGCACCACCAGCACCTTCTTGCCGAACTTGAGCCAGTCCAGCGTGTGAGTGGCCCACCACGGGGCGTAGTTCCTCACAAACTCCGGCCACTCTGGAGAGAGGAGGCAGGGCCGGGTCAGAGGGAGGAGGGGCTCTGGGGGCAAGGGTCAGGTGGCAGCGGACGCAGTGACTGACAGCGACACCCTTACCCAGTCCTTCGGATCCCCAAACTGGCCCGATTCCTGCCCCCTCCCTGCCACCGCTTCCACCTGGAAGGTCCTTCACCTGGTCTTTGGGGATAACACCACCACTCGTTTGGTGCTCACTGTAGGCCCGGCACAGACTTATCCATAAATACGTGTATTTACTGTACCTTCTATATGCATTTGTATTCACGTACAATAAGCGTATGAATGGCTACTCACTCACTTATTCCTCACGATTCTGTGTGACAGGTACGCTCGTTTTCATTAAACAGGGAAAAAAAAAAAAAAGAGGCACAGAGAGGTTAAGTCAGGTGCTCTTGGACACAGAGCTAATCATTGGTAGAGCCAAGATGGGACACCAGTCTGGCTTCAAAGTCTAGGCTTTTCACCATCAAGTTACCCTGTGTAGTAGCAATTCTCCTCTTTGGTAACGGTTATCTACTCCCAGGTCCTACGATAGTAGGACCTTTGTATACGCAAGCGGATTAAAGCCGAGGAGGTTTTGAGCATGGGGCCCCAGGCCCAGGAAGTGCTCAAGTGATGTTGACTCAATACTATTCCTGTCATTATCCTGAGATGAGATCTTGTCTTCCCCGGCTCTCCTGGCTCCGGGCTCCGCAGCCCCCTTTGAACTCCCCGCGTATGTGGTCTCTGATGGACTGGGCTGGGGGTAGAGTTGAAATCAGAGGCTCTATACCGTCATCTTTGCCTTCGTGTTGTTTCTCTTTTTATCATCATACACTGTGTCTTGTTTTGGGGTGTATTACCTTGCCATGGGAAAATGGCAGGGTGGATTGTCACCAGCATCGGGAAGGTGTTTGGGGATGGTCTGACTCGAAAGGCAGGCTACAGGAGAATGTGAGTGAAGGCTTGGGGAAACCCTAGAGAGGACCTCAAAGAGACACCAGCCAGCCCTGGAGCTGCTGAAACTGACAGAACAAGAATCTGGGTAACTGTGGAAGGAGATCACGGAGGATGCTGGGAAGGCAGAAAGGGATTCCAAACCCCCACTAGGACAATCAGAGGGGGCAGGTGCCCCCAAACGCTGAAGCCAGACCCTCTGCTGCTCACAGAAGCACCACCGCCCTGCCCCCTCCAGAGGGATTTATTTATTGAACGACGGTCTGGTGAGTTTTGCACGCTGGGTTGGGGGAGCCCAACTCGTTCTTAATAACTAAATCCTCAACCTTTGCTGGGTGATGGGTGCCCATGATCTCACTTAATCCTCAAAACTACCCTGCAAGGAAAGGGCTACTGTTCACTTGTATCACCAGTGAGGAAACTGAGGCTCAGAGAGGGTAAGTGACTGGCCCGAGGTCACACAGCCCCAGGCAGCACCCTCCAGACCAGGCCTGTCTGATCCCAGGTCCTAATCCTTCCCAGGCACCAGGAGCCTCACCCCCACTGCCTTACACCCAGCAGGGGCTCGATAAATGCTTGTTGAACTAAATTGAAATTCCCAACCGCCAAACTGTGATGTGATGAAGGGCTCCTCTTTCTCTGCAGAACACATCAAGACCTTTGGAGAGGCTCCGGCTCTCCCATTTGCCCCCCCTGGAACACCACCGCTGCTTGGGAAATCTATATCTTGGTGACAAGGATAGATTTTATCCTGACGATAAATTATTTACAATGTATCTGGCTAATTGGGCCCACACTGTTGTAATGGGTTAAGACCAGATGTATGAGTGATTAAAAGAACATATAGTATGTGCATAGTTTTGTTTTTGTTTTTTTTTTTTTCTTTTTAAGAATCTCTCCACTCCTGAGTCACCTCACGGCGTCCCGGATGGTTCAGGACACCTGCTGCTCTGATGGCAGAGGCCCAGGTGGACGGAGATGGTACTCAGTCACCTAGTAACACGCAGATCGGATTTCCAGGCTTGGCCGCTTCTGACCATCTCAAATATTTGCTGGAGGGGGTGCTGCACGGTGGTCGTCGAGGAGAAGGAAGGACCCGCCTGCACGGTGGTCAGAGTCCTGCAAACGGGGCTCCTGGCCTTCAATGCAGGCGGGCGGAGACAGCATGGCATCCTTGCTGACTGGAGATCACCGGGGGATGGGACCGTATGTTGCCTGAGCACCTACTATGTGTCGGCCACCTCCCCTTTTCCCAAGAAGCCTGGAGAGTGAGACTTGGGCCCATTTTACACACAGGAAAAAGGAGGCTCAGAGACACGAAGCCAGTCGCTCGAGGCCACACAGTAATCACCCAAGACAGGATTTGAACCCTGACTGAGCCTGGCTCCTGCCCTCCTAGGAAACCCTTCGGGATCAGCTCCTAGTTTACCACGGCTCACTTCACCTTCGGCTGTTGTTCTACGACTCGGGGTCTGTTCACGGACAACTTGGGAGTCAGACTGACAGCATTCGCAACCCCTTTCCTCCCTAGAGTAGCTGAGGGGCTCGGTCGGTCTCCCGGTGGCTCAGTTTACCCATCGGCAGAACAACTGCGCGAAGACCTCCGTCCTGGGCATGCTGGGCGGAGGGAATGGAGTAAGTGCGGCAAAAACCCTGGCACCCGGCCTGGGATCCAGCAGGTGCTCCGTAAGTGCTGGCTACGGTCACGATCATCCTTGACGCTGGTGCCCTGGAGTCACTGAGGTGCCCCAGGTGCCCCACCTGTCGCATCAGAGCTTCCGGGCAACACCCGAGCTGCCTCAGCAACAGCTGTGTGCCTACCCCAAAGATTGCCATCCTGGCTGTTCCTAACCCACTTCATCAGAAAGAAGGATAAAAGGTGAAGACAGAAGCCCCGATTAGCACAGGATTCCCGGTAACTGATCGCTGCCTTCAAAGCGGGTAATAAAGTCAAGCTGAGCCACGGACCGTTGGTCACCAGTGCTGGTTCCACCGGAACGGTCCCACACGTGAGCCTGGCAGGGCCCCTCGGGCCCCTCTTTGCTCCCTCTTGTCGAGAAGAACCGGGGCCTGATTAATAGCTTAACTGCACTTAATTCCCCACGGAATCATCAAACACAGTCTGTTTCATTAGATCAGGACGATTCACCTTGTGTAATCATATCACATAAAACTTTGCTTTGGACCCACTCCAGGGAGACTGTAAAATTAACGTTATGGAACCCAAAATGGGGGTGGGGGGCGGGGAGGGTTGCAAGGGCCTTGACCCAGCTCTAAAGGGGAAGGGGGCAGAGGCAGGGTGGGACAGATGTGCTCAGCAGCTAGGGGGGGCTCTGCTCTTAGGGAGGTGACCGTCACCTGCTAGGGGAGGGCATTCTAAGCCAGGCGTTCTCAAACTTGCAAGTGCCTAGGAAGCTTCCCAGAGAATCTTGTTAAAATGCAGATTCCCATTCAGGGACCCTGGCAGGGGGTGGGGGAGGGCTGAGATGTGCTTTTTGAGAAAAGCTTTTTAGAAGCTTCCAGGTGATGGACACCACTGATCCACAGGCCACACTCTGAGCCACAAGGGTTTATGAAGGCAGTGGTTCTCACGTTGGGGCATCGATGTGTATCAAACATCTGGAGGGATGGGTAAGACCCAGATTTGCCAGGCGCCCGCCCGGAATGTGACTCCGCAGGTCTGCGGTGGGGGCCGCAGAATGTTTTTCTAACCAGTTCCCAAGTGATACTGATGTTGCTGATGCAGGGACCCTTAAAGCAAGGGTCTCAAACAAGTGCCTCCAAGGGCCAGGCGTTAAAGCAGAGAGAGAAATGGTTCTTTGGGGGAAGGCTCTCAGAGCACTTAAGACCGGGGTCAGGCCTGCCTGGGAGGTGATGAGGTGGAGAAGCCCCCCTCCCCCATCCTGGACTCAGGTTGGGACCCCAGGCCCCCAACAGGAGATACATTTGCTGGAATCTCTTCTCTCCCATCCCCTGCAGCCTCATGGTTGAGCCTGTCCTGACACCTCCCTTATCTTTGGTTTTCAAGCTCCCAGCTGCCTTGATCAGGAAAGAGGCAAGGGGCTCCTGGGAACTGTCTGAATCTGAGACCAGGCGCTAAACCAGGAAAGCAGCAGTGAACTCATCAGGAGGTCAGAGACCCCTCAAGGTAAGAGAGCCTGGTAGCTAACGCCTGGGGTTGAACCCCAGCTCTGCCAAACCCTGGGGCCTTAGCCTTCCTGGGATGGTTTCCTCGCCTGTGCAATGGAATGCCACCTTGACCACAAAAGCCTTTCTTCCCTCTTCCTGGAATTAGAAGGGTTAAATGCCATGAAGCATGCAAAGTGCCTGGCCCCATGAGAGCCTCCCGAGTGAGTCCCCTCCCTTGTCCCTGGGGACATCGGGATACCTGGGAGCCAGAGAGTTGGATTCTACTCCTGCCCTAAGGACCTTGGCAGGTCCCTGCCTCTCTCTGGGCCTCGGTTTCCCCATTAATAAATAGACAATCAGTGGTTCTCAGTCCTGCCTGTATCCTGGATGCTTTAAAAAATACCGATGCCTGGGATCCACCACAGCAACGGTCCGGGTGCAGTCTGGGCACTGGGACTTCCCCACACTCCTCCAGGGATGTTGACGTGCAGTAGGGGCTGGGGACCCCTGGGCTTGGTCAGCCCCAGGTCCTTTCCAGCTGGACCAGCCAAGTCTGTGCTCAGGACAGGCCCTCTGCCCTGGGCGCCTGCAGACTTCTCAGCCTGGCCCTGAGTGGTGTTCATTTTCGATTGTTCTGTAAGTAAATCAGAGGACCTTTTGGGGAACAAGGGCACAAATGTCACCGCCTACGCTTCTACCCTCTGCGGGGGGGGGGGGGGGGGGGGGGGGGGGGGGGGTGTGGTGAGGCAAGGGAAGGCGCAGAGGACCCCCTTGACTGAACTGGGAAGCCAGGGCACGGTTGGCCAGACAGGCACGAGAGTCTTAATGAACGAGGTCACTGCTGCGGGTGTAACTATTGGATTGCTCAGTGCATACCATCCCGTCAAGTTCCGGTCCTCTCTGCGGAGGGGCCAGGGCTGGAGAGCAGTTGTGGGGAGTCGGGGGGGGGGGGGGGGGGGGGGGGGGGGACGTGGAAAGCACCCCTCAGTGTTGAGGCTGGAGCAGGCTGGGTAAGGTGGAGAGAGCTCACATTTACAGAGCACCTACTGGCCTGCGACGCCCACCGTTCATCGACGTTTTGCCCCATCCGTTACCACTGTGGTGGTGAAGGGCCGGGGCTCAGGAGCAAGACTTTCTGGGGTCAAACCCCAGCTCTCCTGCGTCCTGGAGAAGCCTCTTCACCTCCCTGAGCTTAGCTTGTCCCAGCTGTAAAAGCAGGGTTAAACGAATGGGGTTTCAAGACTCTCGTTACCGCGATGGCGGTATTCTGAGAGCCAGAGGGATTAAAGATACCCAAGAGGACAGAGCTTGGGTCTGATGGTAAAGCTCTCTCCATTATCGTGGGCCACCTCCCTGTGAGACATTCATCCACACAGCTGCCATCTAAGTACCAGAGGTGAATGTCAAAGGCAGATCATATTAAGATTCACTGCTGGGGGGGTCAACGCGGTCACCTCCCAGCTGTGTGACCGGGCACAGGTCACTTAACCTCTCGGAGCCTCACAACCCAGAGTTGTTAGGGGTGGTTCACCGCAGTGCTGCTCTGCGAGTCCTTAGGAGCTCATAAGTGACCTCATGGCCACCAGCCACCGACCCGGGGCTGAATTCAGGTCTCCTGACACCCAGGGGAAAGGGCTCCTGAAACGGTTTCAATCCATCCCATATCAATCATGTGAGGGTTTCTATCTCCATCACGAGTCACATTTACAGAGTGGTTTTAAAGGGTTAAATTCTTAGAG